AGCTCTCGCACTCTTCCGTGTGTGCCAAGCTTTTCCTGTTCAGCCTAATGGCCGAGCAAGCAAAGGCGCCCAACCTCTCTCCGAGTGTGAGCGGTGACGACGGGGAGCCAAACCCACGCCATCGAGCTCGTACTCCACCACCCCCTCCACACCAAAGTCCTAAGCAGGGGGAGGCGCTCGAGAGGGTCGAAAGACCCGCGGTATCACCAGTCGCGGGCGATGGAGGAGAACGGCGAGATGGCGAGCGTCGCCTCCTCGTCTACGGCGACGGCAGCACGCCCCAGGGCGCACTTCAGGCTGCTGGCGCGCTCCTACGTCACTCGCCTGTCGTCCCTGACCCGGAGTCTCCAGCTCAGCGATGGCTGGACGACGTGGCCAACTTGGTCATGACGGCACAACAGCGCCTGGGTGCTGGTGGGCGGTCCTCCACCACCAGGACCTCCGGCGCCGCTACCACCGGCTCCGTGTCGTCAAGACGGAGGGCGCGGCGAGCGGCGGCTGTTGCACGCCATTCGGCTGCCACTCCCTCGTCGGCGCCTCCGACCCGGGAGGATCAGCGTGGAGAGCCGGATGCCCGCCTCGACATCGAGCGCCGGCGTAATGATCGGCGTGCTCCCCACGCAACGGAAGGCGCCTCTTCGTCCAGAGTGTCGCCTCGACATGGACGCGAGGACCAGCCCTCCGTGCCCCCGGCTGGTGGTGTCGGCTGTAGAGCCTTTGTGGCGAGTCTTCGGAATGTCCGTTGGCCCCCAAGGTTCCGGCCCACCATCACCGAGAAGTATGATGGGAGCGTCAACCCCACCGAGTTTCTCCAGGTCTATACGACCGGGATTGAGGCCGCTGGGGGTGACGACAGGGTCATGGCGAATTTCTTTCCCATGGCCCTCAAGGGACAGGCGCGGGGTTGGCTAATGAACCTGCCACCCGCGTCGGTCCACTCCTGGGAGGATTTGTGCCAACAGTTCACCATGAACTTTCAAGGCACATATCCGCGCCCAGGCGAAGAAGCGGACTTGCACGCAGTACAGCGAGGGGATGATGAGTCACTTCGCTCGTACATTCAGCGGTTCTGCCAAGTCCGCAACACTATACCATGCATCCCTGCACACGCGGTGATCTACGCGTTCAGGGGGGGTGTGCGGCACAACCGCATGCTCGAAAAGATCGCCTCCAAAGAGCCCCAGACTACCGCGGAGCTTTTTCAGCTCGCGGACCGAGTGGCTCGTAAGGAGGAAGCGTGGACCTGGAACCCCTCCGGTTCCGGAGTGGCAGCTTCGGCCGCCCCCGGATCCGCTGCTCAGACAGGGCGGCGTGTCAGGAGGAGGAAGAAGAGGTCTGCCCATTCCGACGACGAGGGGCATGTCCTCGCCGTCGAGGGCGCTTCGCGGGCCACCCGAAAGGGGAGGCCTGCGAGCGACAAAAAGAAGGAGGCCGGCGCTCCCTGACCTCGACTACTTGGAAGAGCGAAGGCGGCGCGCGGCCCTCCGAGCCGCGCGCTACCAGCAGAGCCTGCGGCGCTACCATCAGCGCCACGTCCGGGCCCGATCACTCTGCGTCGACGACCTCGTCCTACGCCGCGTCCAAACGCGTGCTGGATTGAGCAGGCTCTCACCAATGTGGGAGGGTCCGTATCGAGTGATTGGCGTCCCCCGGCCGGGCTCCGTTCGGCTGGCCACGGGCGACGGCACAGAGCTGCCTAACCCGTGGAACATCGAACACCTTCGTCGCTTCTACCCCTAAGGGGGAACGGGTGTCAGGTTTCGGGCTCGGGCCAACCCCGCACCCCCCCCCCGGGCGTGCAGGGTTGGCCGGGGGCTTATCTTTTTTCTCTTCCGTATTTCAATAAAAGCATTTTCGATTTCCTAAAGGCTGTATCTGTGCTGTTGTTTCCTTTTGAAGAATCTTGATGACTTGAAATAGGTCACTCGTGCTCAATCCTGCCCTCGGGGGCTCGGGTCGGCTAAAATCGCCAAACGGGGCCCAGAACCGAGCCGTGCCCCGGGACGTGGTGAACTCCGGGGGGGAATCGGCAAAAACCCACAATCGGGTCACCCATAACCCTCGGTCACCACGCTCCCGGCCTGGCCAGTCTCGACATGTGGATCTCCCCAGGCACTAGCCCCGACCCGAGCCATTTGAGGACTGGGACCTGGGCACGAGCCCTTGTTCAAGCCAGGACACAGAAGGACCGCGGCACAGACCATCCTCGTCTCACACAACAAATAGAATTGACACAGAAATTCCCTCTTTATTTAATTGCAGATTAAATCAGTCTATACAAGAAGGGAGCCCGAAGGCCTCGGAAGGAGAAGGAAAAGCTATTAAGATTGGCGGGGGCCTGGGGGCTCACTCCGACGCCCCCGGGTAGCCGGCCTCGCCGTCGCTGTCGTCCGCACCGTCGTCACCGCACTCCTCGTCGGAGTTGAAGGCAAACGCGACCCGAGGGGCCGCTCATTATTGTCGGTCGGTTTTCCTTTGCTGATGCGCGCGATTTGCGACCGTTGGTTTTCTGCCCAACCATGGAGACCAATCCCACCTGCCACCAGGCCTAAGGAGTGGCGTCACGCCCGACCGCTTCCCTTGAGAAGGGCGATCGCCCTGGCATAACGCCGGGGGCTACTGTCGGTGATATGGGACCGGGAGTATCGTGACCAGAGGCTTGAGGCAGACACAATCGCCCACGTGGCCTGGCACCCTCGGGGACGTCGGGCCCGAGGGTGAGGTGTCCGCCCTCCTCCTGATTTCCCCGAGGGGGGTCGGGTGACTCCTGTCCCGGCCCCGAGGGCCGAGGCGCCCCGACCCCTTGTGGGTTTTTGCGTCACATGTATAGGTTAGGTGAACGCGGCAGGGCTCACCTAACCGCATTTATTGCGGTCTGGTCAAGCGTGTCACGCTGCATGCAGCGCAGTGCAGCGCGTTCCTTTATCCGGTCTGTGACCAGTCACAGAACGGTCAGATCACGGTTTAGGTGGCGACTGGCGGTCTGACGCACGCCTCGCCCCGTCCCGTCAAGACGAGAGCCTCTAGGCACTCGTCTCTAGCCGGAGCTAGCGTGTTGTCTCTTAGAGATGGCACGATAGCCCCGGTCAGATATATGCCAGGCTTCATCCTAACCATTACAGGCAAGATGTACATGAAGAAGGGCGAACATGCAGATTGCTAAACTGACGCGTGGAGGACAAGAATGACCGATCTGTGACCGGTCTGACACTGGTCGCGTCAGCAACGGACAGCAACCATACCAATCTCCGTCCATTTATGAAGAGAGGAAAAGTCCAGTTTGGAAAGAGAGGGGTGCATGTGGTATCCCCTTGAGATATAAAAGGAGGACCTTGCCCACTTAGAGAGGGGACTGGATCCTGATCCCAGACGGAGGGAGGGGGACTTTTGGAGATTGGAGACTTTGGGACTTTCTTTTGGAGGGGCTGCTTCATACTTTGTAGCTGGCTCATACACAAATCCACCAAAACACAGGAGTAGGGTATTACGCTTCCTAGCGGCCCGAACCTGTATACATCGCCTGTGTCTCTTGCTCGTTCGATAGGTCGCGATCTTTCCACATACAGAGAGAGAGTTTGGGATTTCACCCCGAGCCCCCGGCCGAACCGGCAAAGGGGGGCCTGCGCGGTCTCCCGGTGAGGAGCCTCGCGCTCCGTCAGAGGCTCTAATCCAGATAGGGATAAAGGCAAAAACCAGATCTTCCAACCCCTTTGTTTCATCAAAATCCACCAAAACAACCAAATCCTTCCCAAATATCCAGGGGCCCTCCTCGAGAGCACGTCTCTTACCCGATGCTTGGTGGAACGTGATCAAGAAGTGATTCTCTCCCAGATCCCTACACGAGACCCCTTTGATTGGACACCAGATCTTCCCCAACGCTTGCACTAGGCCCTCCGCATTCACCACCTTCTCAGCCAAGACTTTCCCAACCACTTATGGATCCTTTGATTTCGCCCTTCCAGATCCCGCCGTATCAACCCGGATGCCCTTCTTCTCTGCCTCCGACAGTTGCATGCGCTTCAGGGATTCCTGCACTGCCTCCATGATCAACGTGAAAAAACACCCTCCCCGGCTAGCAAGATTGGTTCGGCTCCGAAACGGAGAATATGAACATGGACACAAGCGCAGGATGGGATGTGGACTCGAGATCCAAACCGAGACGATCGATCAGATCAGGCACCCGAAGACAGAGAAAGGGAACTGATTCAACCCTACCCCCCAAACAGCCTCAGATCGCCTAGAAACCCTAGGCACCAATAAACCCCCTCGAGTCGCCTAGGAAACCCTATTGTTGATCATCTAATTGAGCTTCCTAAATATTATATTGGTGGCAAAGTTATGAACTACTTTTTGTCAAAAGCATGTCATAACATATATTTGTGAGTTGAATAAAAAGAGTATCATACATACTCCCTCTATATTTAATAATAGATGATGCCGTAAGTTTTGAACACAAGAAGCAATAATGCAGACGACATGCATCCTAGATACAATGTGCATTTTAAGATCATTCCAACTGTACCTTCCTAAATATTATATTAGTGGCAAAGTTATAAACTACTTTTTGTCAAAAGTATGTCATAACACATATTTGTGAGTTGAATAAAAAGAGTATCATACATACTCCCTCTATATTTAATAATAGATGATGCCGTTAACTTTTGAACGAAGTTTGACCATTCGTCTTATTCAAACACTTTATGTAAATGTATAAGATATAAATCATACTTAAAGTATTTTGAGTGATACAACATCTCACAACAAAATAAATTGTAACTATGCAAATTTTTAAAATAAGATGAATGATTAAATGTGTGACGAAAAGTGAATCGAACGTAAAAACAAAGTTAAGAACATAATTGCTTTTTTTAACTAAGAGTAAAAACTAATAATGCTTATGTTCCGAACTACGGTATGGTCAACCAAAATAGCCATCTCCTTTTGTAACGAACGGGAGTGGAGTAGTATAGAAAGGTGGAGTACTCGAGTATCTCCTCCCCAGGCCCCAACCCCAACACCCCCAACCCGCCCGAAAGAAAATCTCCCGTATCGTCTCCTCCGCTCCTTGCGCCATCTCGCGGCAGATCAGGGGAGGAGGCGCCGATCTCCATCTGGCGAGCAGAGCGGGGAGGGGGCGCCGTCGTCCTGCTGCATCCTGGTCAGCATCCACATCCTCTTTCCGATTCATCTCTCTCTCCCACCTACTTTTGCGTCGAATTTGCTTGCGTTAACCTTAGCTTCTCTTCTAGATCTGGGAAGAAGCTCTTCTCTTAATCTCAGAACCTTAACCTTAATACACGTAATAGTTTGTTTGTTCCCCCAAACCCCCCATGTCCCAAGTTGGATCCGCACCTGTAAGGTTCTTGTCCCATTCGTGCCTTGAGGCGTGGCCTCGACGCGGGGGCGGGTCAAGTTAGCTTTGTGGTGCTTGTGTTGTCTGGTTCTTGTAGATGTGGATGAAGCTGTTCTTGACTCACGCGTCGTTCTTGCACAGTACCTTCCTCTCTAGACTTAGTTCTTGTACCTCTTCTTGTTATATTAGCAAAACTTTGAACAGTATTTAGGTCTCCCTGTGGTAATGCGTCCCATTGGATTTGCTATAGATCCTCGATGACACAGGTAGCTGGTGATAATGATGATGTGATGAGGCCATAGTTATACCAATGTCTGGATGCTGTTGCTCTTAGAAGCATGACAGACTACTTTGCTTTTTTGTTTTAGTTATCAAATCAGCTGTTGCACACGTTAGTAAATAGTGTAGAAACCGAAGTGTGCACCCATATTCTCTGTAACCAGGAGTTATTGCAATTAGGTGCAAATTGATATTTTAATCGTCATTTGTCTGAATGATTGCCAGCCAAACTGCCTGTTTTATATCTGTATATAATGATTTTGCAGATGTTACTCGCGCTTCAAAACTCTGAGGTTTGTTAAATCTGTTGGCTAATCATGGAAGAACAGCAAGTAAAGCCCTCTGATTCACATCCACCACCTGCTACTCCGGTGGACAGCCAGGATTCAACTGCACCTCCTGTCAGAACTCCTGACCCTGTTTCTCAGGCTACTTCAAATGATTCTGCCACCCAGTTTGCCAGTACAGTCCATGTAGCCCCTTCACCTGCACCTGTTCCAAATGCTGTTCCAATACAAGATGCTGCAGGACGCGAGGCACAATCCTCCATATTTTCAACATCTGGCTTATCCTCCTGGGCAAAAAACCTGAAAATACCACAGCCTTCTTCAGGTCAAGAATCACCAACGGGGAAGAACACATTTTCTCGCCTCACGAGTGGCCTTGGGTTGCGCTTGTCTCCAAAAGGTCCTCAGCAAGATGAGAGTGCTGAAGGCAGCACAACCCCAACAACAGCACAATCTGGCGTTTTTGGCTCTTTTACTAAAGGCATCGTGGATTCCTCTAAGAATGCTGTTAAGGCAGTGCAAGTCAAGGCTCGCCACATGGTCTCACAGAATAAAAGACGATATCAGGTGCATTTTATATGCTTGTTATCTTAAGCTTGATTGAACTTTTATTTCTTCATAGTTTAGTCTCTAGCCGATTATTGTAGAATATTCATGATTAGTGCATTCATGTGTTGCGTTGTGTGGTTGATAACAAATTTTCCAGCATTCATCATGAAGATTGTTCAATTTATATTTACTAGAAAAAATGCCCGTGTGTTGTAACGGGTGAAGTCTATTTTAATCTTATTATTGTTATATGGTTTAGTTAAGATGAAATTCACTGTGGGAGTTTGCTTGGATATATATATTTTTATAAAATCATGAGCTGCAGTTAGGAGTCCGATCGTCTCAAGTTAGCATGCGAATTTTTAAACAGATTTCTTATATGATTCTTTCTGTATTACCAAAAGTGAACGATCTTAAAAACCAACTCAACTACAGGTATGTATTTCCAAAAGCAAACAAACTTAAAAACCGGCTCATACACGGATGACGTACCGAAATACCGGCAAAAACTTCTTCAATTTTTATGATAGTAGAGAAGAGATATAGATTAAAACCAAAACATAAAATTAAAACTGACTCAAACACGAATGACAAACCACAGAAACATCTTTAATTTTTATAACCAACTCAAACACGGATGACGGACTGCGGAAACATCTTCAATTTTTATAATAGTAGAGATTCCTCCTTAGGATGCTACATTGATGGCTTATTAGATCTTCTCAGAACATTGTCTTGGAAAGCCTTTATACATGTTATATGTATTCTGTCAGCATATATCCGTGTTAGCAGTTGTTACCTCGTCCTCTGCAGTATGTACATATTCAACATTCATCTTCTCATCAAAATGTGGATGGCAGTTTTGTATTTCCATAAAACTTGGTGATCGATTGATCATGTATTATTCCCAGGGTGATAGTAAAACAATGGGCCTGTGTTGCTTTGGTACAATGTCAAAGACAATAAGCATTTAGACTGCTAGAGAAGATTCAAACTTCTGTACCACAGCAATGGTCTCCAATTTGATTCCATGTATTAGCTTCCTTGAAAATTGATTATTGTTTCCATCACCTTGAGAAATTACATGACAAACAGTGAACAAGATGGTCTTATTATTTGTATACTTTTTTTGTAGACCTAATACCAGGGATAACAGTTGTTTTGATTCTCTCATTGCTGTGACAGGAAGGCGGCTTTGATTTAGATATGACATATATTACAGAGAACATCATTGCTATGGGTTTCCCTGCTGGAGATTTGAGCTCAGGGCTTTTTGGATATTTTGAGGTCAGTATAATGACAAGACACAAATTACTTATGGCACCTTTTCGTTTCTCTGTAGACAAAAACAGGGTAATACTTCTATTGCAGGGCTTCTACCGCAACCACATGGAGGAAGTCATCAGGTTCTTTGAAATGCACCACAAGGTAGCTTTGACTCACTCTTGAGTTTGTTGATGTATATGCCACCTGACAACTCATCTCAGGCCGTTGTTATAACTTTTTTTCACAGATATCTGGTTCCTTTTGCTTGTTGATGCATCTTTATGGTCTTGGATACCTTGATCATGCTGCCTTGACTTATTAGTATGTTTAAATTGACTTTTCATGGAATGAATCAGCTTCAACATCACATATAAAGGGTATTATTTTCTGTGTTAAAACCATGACTTAGTATAACTATTGAAGAAGTCTAATATTTTCTATCATTGATGATTATGCTGGTTAACTTTGTCATCGTCTATATAGATGTATTTTTTCATAAGATTATGAGCATGGGGCAATAATTTTTTGGTACTAGTACATGTTCTGCATTGGCATGAGGGTTTTATATGTGATGCACATACCGCACACATGTTATTTACATTGTTGATATGTGATTTTTTCTGTTACATTTGAAGAAATATCATTGTAGTAAAATCACTTGATTGGTGCATTATTTAGAGGTGTTATATAATCTATTTGTGTTTTTCAACCCCTTATCATATTGTGTTACAGGGAAAGTATAAGGTGTACAACCTTTGCTCGGAAAGGCTATATGATGCATCTCTTTTTGAGGGAAAGGTATGGGAAGCTTATAATTTTGTCTAGGTCCTCTGTTCTGTCATTTCCATACCATGTGATACACGTATGAACCACCAAAAATGGGAATACAACAAAGGGTACGCTTGGTTCTTTGCTAAGATGAGCTATAGCTTAGCTGAGCTATCTAGATTGTTTGCCATGTTTGACTTGGCTGCGTGTTCAGTTATTCACCTCGGCAGCAACCATTAGAGTTTGAAGAGGAGTGGGACACGATTAGGATGGAGTAATCGTTAATCTAGGTCACCTAGGCTAGGTGGCATCCAAAATCTTGTTTTATTTCTAAGTTCCAAGTGACTAGTCTAGCACTCAAGCTTATCAAGGCTAGAAAAAGACTTGCCGAAAATTTTAATGTCCGCAGTTCATCCGGTGGTATATTGAATATTCCTTCATTTGTATCAGTATTTTAAATGGTGTGTAATAATCGATTTAATTGCATATTGCACATAGTGGTCAAATTTAGTAGCCATGTTTCAGGTTGCATGCTTCCCTTTTGATGATCACAATTGCCCTCCGATACAACTTGTCATATCGTTCTGCCATAGTGCTTACTCTTGGTTGAAGGAAGATATAGAAAATGTAGTGGTTGTTCATTGCAAAGCTGGAAAGGCGAGGACAGGATTGATGATCTCCAGTCTGCTACTATACCTGAAGGTAAAATTGGTTTCACATTAAATTAAATGATAATTATGATACATTGCCCAAGAGAATCTTCATCAAATTTTCTTAATATTTGAAGCCTGTGTATTATACAATTGACAGTTCTTTCCAACTGCGGAAGAGTCCATTGAATACTACAATCAGAAAAGATGTGTAGATGGAAAAGGGCTTATTCTCCCAAGTCAGATTGTAAGTAACTCCAAAATTATTCAAATTTATTCATACAACTTAACAGTGGTTGTTCTGAATGTGTTCCAAAATTACAGAGATATGTGAAATATTTTGAGCGCATCTTAACTTACTTCAATGGTGAAAATCAGCCTCCACGCAGGTATTCATCTAGTTCTACCATGGTTTCAGTATGAGGATATGCGCTACATGTATATCTTATTAATATGCAATTTTATTTTGCAGGTGCATGCTCAGGGGATTTCGCCTTCATAGATGCCCTTATTGGATTAGACCATCAATCACTGTGTCTAATCACAATGGTATGTTTTGCTATTTGCTTGAAATTGATTTTGTTGTTAAAAAAAATCATGGTACCATAGTTTAGTTAAATGACTGTTGCTGTGGTTTGAAGTTTTTCTCATACACTGAGTAATAACTTTGTTGTTTAGGTGTTCTTTTCACAACTAAGAAGCACCCTAGAACAAAGGAGCTGATGGTATGCCTTCTGACCGTGTAACCTACCCATGTCTTTTTTTTTTTCAATAGCTTCTGCTCAGTTCTGCACGTTTTCCTTCATTTGGTTAAGTTTATGTAATACCTAATGATATCATCCAAATTTTGACAGAAGCTTTTAGGTATTAATGCTAAGTAAGGAATTATCTTTTAGAGTTGGCAGTATATCCTATTCGAGAAATAGCTTAGTTTCACTTGTCGCAGGGGTTACATTATTTATGCATCTCATGATGACAAATGAACATACTTTAGGAATCTAGTGAATGTATAACATGAAATGTGGTCTGTGGGTTTTGTGAATGTTACTGTTTGAGCATCCTATTTTGTTTTCTCTATACTTATTATTTTTGTTATTTCAATTTTTCCAGCTTTCTTTCATATATTATAGTAGTGTTCTTGCTGTTTCCTGTAAAACAAGGTTCCATAATCATATAAGACAGTCTAGCCCACTTGTTTCCTGCTACATGTGTGTTATATCCTGAATAAGCTTACATAGATCAAAGGAATAGGCAATGCATTAGCTTACACAAGGAAATTGGGGATCGAGTGAAGGGAGGAGACTGGAAACAGAGCCCAGATGGGGAGAACTAGCACTATCTCTGTTTCATTTCTACCCTCTTGTTACACAGTAGTTGGCTTTTGTACCCTCTCAACCTTACTAGAGTAAAGACCACTCCATTTACTTTCACCAGCCTGGCCCACATGACCGATTAACCCTTAGTTCTGCCACCTCACTTCATATTACCATAGCTGTAGCTATGGTATGATCTATCGAAGCTTTCTAACACTATGGATCTTTGACCATCAGTGGCCTGTTTGTTTGTTGGTTGTGATTAATCTGTGAAGGCTATTACTTTGTGAGCTCCATTGGGAACTAACTTTACTATTTATTTTCAGCCAGAAGATTTCTGGTTTAGTGCACCAAAGAAAGGGATCATGGTTTTTGCGTTGCCTGGAGAGCCTGGATTAACAGAGGTAGCTGGTGACTTCAAGATTCAGTTTCATGATCGACAGGGGGATTTCTACTGGTGAGCTCCAGTTCTTTATGATAGTATAATTTCCTTGAACGAAGTATATGTTTTTCTCGTGTTTAATGGTTTCATTTTCTTGTTACTGGAACAATGTTTTCGTTGCATATATGTATGTTTAGATCTAACTTAGATTGGATAGTATCAAAATTTTATATTGAAACTAAATAAATAATTGGCTTAATTCTAAGTTCCATTTGTTAACCTGTTTCCTTCAGCTGGTTAAATACAACAATGATGGAGAACAGGGTGACTTTGAATCCAACTGATCTTGATGATTTTGACAAGGTAATTGTCGCTTCATTTTTGAAGCTATTTTATGAATATGCTTGTCAAAACCTCTATCAAGCTATTTCCACTAGGCACGCTACAAAGCCCATCTATCTATAAAATAAGTTTGATTATAAAAAATGGACTAGGGATCCAATTGACCCCTTCAAACTTTGGTCATAAACCAAGTTATTGCCAAATCTTGATCAAATCTACCAAATTTTCATATGTTAACATTGCCAAGCATTTTAAGTTCAAATCAAACACCTGTGGCCTTGTTTTTCAAGCAATTGCAGGCAAGGCTAGTCAGAATAGTGCATACAAATAGATTTCAGTGTTGAACTGTTAGTCACATGAAAGCTGTTCTAACATCTACTGTAGAGATATGACAATTGCAACTTAAAGAGAGACGGAAAGCTGTAGGGAAGTCATGGGGCCCGAAAGGACCCTAAAATCCCTTTGGGCCAAATACATACATAAGTGCTCTTTCGCCAAAATTCTTTCTTGCAGTCTATATGATGTTTCACACATATAGAGCACATGAGGCCCTTATCAAGCCATGCGGCCTCAGCCTTGTTGAACAAATTGATATTCAATAAATATTAGTCTATTGTTGCCCATGGCAGATATGTTTCCTTGATGTACATCACAGTATGATGGTCAGTTGGTCACTATGTTTGTGTTGTCTGAGTACAATGATGCAAATATTTAACATGAATGATGAAATGTTTTGAGTTAAACAAGGATGGCAACCAGAAAGTATGCATTGAGTGCTAATGCGAATTTAAAGTTTGAGTCTATATGTTATAGAGGAAGGGTCGTATAATTTTCTCTATAATGATATTAATCCTTAGGTAGATTGTTTTTCCTGTTTGTTCGTCGATTGTAGGTTGCTATGGGATTGTGCAGTAGATCTTTCACAATTTTGACCATTAATATGTTAGGATGTTGATTGACTATATGGGATTGTGCAGTAGATATTTCAGAATTTTGATCATTAATATGGTAGGATGTTGATTGACTATATAACTATTCTGACAGATTGAACATATCATTTGTCAAGGTTCTCTTTTTGATATAACATAGATATTTGAATATGGAACTCTTTAAATCCACACGGTAATATTTGTAGTTTCGTAGCACCATGATGCATGATTGTACATCACTTTTCTGAGATGAGATCAGAATATCAGATACGTGTTCCCTGAATCCGTTCTTTATGATCGGGAGTGGCCTTATTTGGAATATGCTTCTGCTTCTACCCTTTCATTATTTGAACCATGTGTTGTCGTGCTAACAATTTTCGCTTCTAGTTGAGCTATGTCATATTAAAGTCATTTTTTTCTGTCTTTCTGAATTGCAACAATTTATTAGCAGTTGTTGAAGGGGAAAAAGAAATTCTACCAACAATGAGTTATTGTTACTGAGTTTTCGCTTTCATTCATAGTTCTTTTTTATTTATACATACTAACACTAACTGTATGTCATCCAGAGGAAATTACCATCACCTGGATTCCAGGTTGAGGTTGTCCTGGTAGACTATGATGGTTCACAACCACCAAAACCAAAACCAGCTGCCGCATCTACTGATCAGAAGTCTGAAGCTGATTCCTCGACTGGAACTGTTGCAAAAGGAAATAATGCTTCATCTGCAGAAGTGTCCAACAAGGAATCTGCAAGGAATGATAAGGATGACGTCTTCTCTGACAGTGAAGCAGAAGATGGATCATCCAAGGGCAGAAGGGAGAAGGTCTCTAGGAACGTTGAGGGTACTACTAATGCTGCAAAAGCGTCTGAAACAAGCTCTGTGCAAAAGGAGGCGTCTGCTGCTGCTTCCAGAATTGAAAAAGTATCAATAACCAGCGAACAAGGAAGTGCAAGGACACCTGATGCTGCACCTCTCAAAAGTGGAGTTAGCAGCAAGAGCAGCTCCACCACAGCACCACCACCACCCCCAGCGGCTGCTGACTCCAGCATGAGCGAGTTCAAGGCAATTGCTGCAGACGCTTCGGTCTTCTCGTTCGGAGATGAAGACGACTATGAAAGCGAATAATTCACACCCTTTTGTGGGCGCCTGGTTCGCCATTGTATAGTTTGGTGCTTTCCAGATCATGATAGGATACCACCTGGAAGCAACAGGTAGAAAAGATGAAAAGAATTGCTTTGTTCTACCGTTTTATGTTTCATTGTAGCCCTTTTTCAAGCTGTAATGTTGTACAATGGTGAACTTTGTAACTCCAAAAATGTCAGAACTTTGTTGATACTTCGCTTATTTGTTTACAGAGATTCTATACATGGATTCTTACGAAACGGATTGATTATTGCGAAAGGGTACTTGAGCTGTGTTTAGATTCTAACTTTTTTCTTCAAACTTACAACTTTTCTGTCACATCAAATGCTTGGACACATATATGGAGCATCAAATGTGGACAAAAAGAAAAACTAAATGCACAGTCCGACTGTAAATCGCGCGAGATGAATCTTTTGAGCCTAATTATGTCATGATTAGTCATAAGTGCTATAATAACACATGTGCTAATGACGAATTAATTAGACTTAAAAATTCGTAGTTTACAGTCGGAATCTGTAATTTGTTTTGTTATTGGTCTATGTTTAATATTTTAATATTTTAAATATGTGCCCGTGTACGTAAAAAAAAATTTGGCTAAATTTTTACAGCATCTAAACACGGCCTTGGTACAAGTGAGGCATTGTTTTTTTAGATGGTTTTAGATGGTAGAACTCAGGATACACGAACATGTGTGCGTCTGGAAAAAAAAAACCCCTGGCGAAACACGCGAATTGTGATCCTAGGGAATTTAAACTTATTTCTATGATTATTGTATATTTTTTTCTTAATCCTGTATATAACACTAAGATGACTTATATTTGAAATGAGGGCTATAGTAATAGTCTAAGAATAATAGCTGTCTCTACGACCCACCGGTGGATCCATCACTTGTCAATGATCCATGAGAGTGCAACTGGAAAAATGAAATTCTAATTTTGAATGATCCATGAGAGTGCAACTAGAAAAATGAAATTCTAATTTTGAGTAGATTGTATTGATGATGTACAAACTTGTTAGGTGAATGCTTTTTAGTACATGAATTTAAAATGTTTGCTTTGGTGTATGAAGTTGTCTAATGCATGCAAAACAAGACCAAAAGGGCATGTCATAGCCAATTTTACCAAATTAAACACTGATTAGGATGCGACGTAAAGACACGATGTGGGCATGAGACATGCTATCTTTGTATTGTAAACTTGATTTGTGATTGATTATTCTTTGTTTTCCCCTTTGATTCATTTCTCGGATTTTTATGTCTTCTCCGTGTAATCTTTAGGCCTTATTAAACATCTTCACTTAACAAATATATACATGTATGTAGCATTCTTTTGACAATTTTCATTTACTTAACAAAAAATTTCTCCACACCTATTCTTCTAACAATTTTCCCAGTTCCAATTGCGATTTAGTGAATTTTTTTTATTTTCTCCGCACATATTCTTCTAGCACACTTCCCCGTTTATCCCACCTCAATATTTAGGAAATGTGGGCAACCGAAGCCCCCAAAATTTCGATCTCCATTTTGTAGTGGGATATCATCGCATTGTTTTTCATTTTGGAGAAGCAGCACTTGCAAGAACCAGAGCACCCAAGAAACCAAGAAGCAGAGCCGCCGTCGCCCTCATCCGCGTCTCTTGATCGACGAGGACGATGCGTCCGCTCGGGAGGACTAGTAAGGGGAGGCAGCACATCGACAACAAGGAAAGGCGGCAGGTCACCTTCACCAAGCGGCGGGGCGGGCTGTTCAAGAAGGCGTCGGAGCTCGCCCTGCTCGCCGGCGCGAGCATCGCCGTCGTCGTCTTCTCCGAGACCAACCTTGCCTACGCCTTCGGTGACCCATCCGTCGACGCCGTCCTCCTCTCCTACGGCCCCGTCCCCGGGGAGGATGCTGAGCCCGCACCCGTCCACAGCGGCGGGTTAGGCAAGGACGTCGACCTCGAGATGCTGAGGTAGGCGGTGGGGGAGACCAGGGCGGAGGTCGCGGCGGAGAAGGCGCGGATGCGCGGCATCACGGCGAAGATCTTGCAGGCGAAGGCCGAGGGGCGGTTCTGGTGGGACGTCGACGTGGGCGAGGTCGGGGAGGCCGAGTTGCCAGAGTTCGCCAGGGCGCCAAGGAGCTCAGGGCCAAGCTCGACGGCCATGCCAACGGTCCGCCACCGCGCCAGCAGCAGTAGAGACGACGACAACGGCGGCGGCGGCAGTAGGAGACAACGGCTCGCACGGTTCTTCCAATTGCATCTCTAATCAGGTTTAGCGCTTGCATAATCATATAATTCGTGGTATTAATTTGGTGAAATGCTCCGATTTGTTTTCTCGTTTGCATCCTGTAAATTTGCAGGCATAACAATTGTGCTTCTTCTCTGCAATTTGTTCTCGTCTCGCTTTCTTTCATCATGTAAATTCAGTGCAAGATGAGTGGAAGTAACATGAATACATGATCTTGGGAGTATTTCAGAAATTTTGTCGATTCTTGTAATGTGTCTTGAAAGGAATTACTTGGGAGATTCTTGGGAGATGTTTTTCTTTGAACGAATGCACCAGAAAATGCGTTGTTTCATTGAATAGGGTAGGAAAAATTTAAAGGCTAGACAGCACCTACACACTACACAGATGATGTTGTTTTATTTCCATTCAATTTGGTACTCCTATGTAACTGTGGATCCGGAGAACGAATGCCTAGATGGTGGGATGGTTTTTGTGTGTTTGCAAACCTGCAAGCACTTTGAGTTGCCCAAATTCCTGCTCTGGTATGCATATGCAGTACATTTTGATTTGCACTTGCAATTCCTACCTGAACTTGAGGAGCAAGATTATGTGTTAATAAATCTTTGTGCAAGCATTCACTTATATTGCCAAAATTGGTACAAAATTGCACTTCTTTAAATAAGGACTACCAATTTTGTAGAACTACACTTTTCCCCCAATGGTTTGAGAGACCTTGCAAGTAGGGTCCGCCTCCAGCCAACCTCCATCGCCGATTCGCTGTGAGCTATGAGCTCGGTGATGGGAAGAGGACAGCCATGAGTAGATTGCAGATTCAAGTCAATGGATTTAAGTCATGGCAGATTGACAGTATCAATTTGCTTTTTTTTTTCTAAATCGGCTCGATTTGCTTTTTTTTTTCTAAATCGTGCTCGATTTGCTAGTGACACCAATTTGTAGTGTGTCATCTGCGGCCTAATTGCTTGATTCATCGATCTTACTGATTATTTAATTTGTTTTTTTGTTGTTCAAACTTTTGTTATGGTTAGTTAGGTCTATAACCGAGACCGAACCGAACTAACCGAAGACCGAATTGCTCGGTCTTAAGTTTTGTTGGAGACCGAGATCAGTTTTGAGATTCTAAAGATCGAATTTTTAAAAAGATCGAGAAACCGAACTGAATTTCTCGGTCTAACCAAATGCCCACCCGTACTACTACACTTAACCCGCCCACTCAAGCAGCTACGCTTAACTCACGTTACGTAGGAAAGGAAATTCAGAAATTGCTGCTGATATCCACCGTGGGGGAAAACAAAAATTCCCCGCTAAGCGCCCACCACCTGTTCGACGGAAACCCCAGCCGCGAGCCCGCGATGACGGCACGCGGGGCGCTCCGCCGCCTCATCCCTAGCCACCTCCAACCCGTCAGCCGCCGCGCCCCGCCGCCGCCGCCATCGGCGGCCGACGAGGGGCCCTTCCCGGACCCCTACGCTCTCCTTGTCCACGACCCCATCGATCTCCTTTCCTCTCTGTGGCGCCGCGCCTTCGCTCACCCGCTCCCGGCGCCCTTCCCCAACCTCTCCGGGTACGCCTCCCGCCTCGATCTCTGGCTCCTCTCTTACCAGCGAGCCTGCGCCCACGCCACGGGCTCCTTCCCGCCACGCCACGCCGTCCAGCTCCCCACCCTCCACTCCCTCCTCCGCCTCCGCGCCGCCGCCCTCCGCCGCCACCCCGCCTTCCCCTGGGGCGCCTCCACGCACCTCCTCATCCGCTCCCCGGCCGACCCCCCTTCCACCGTCACCATCTCCCGCCGCAAGCTCGAAGCCCGCCTCGCCAACGCGCCGCCCCCGTTCCAGGACCGCGTCGTCCAGGAGCTCCTCCTCCTGCTCCTCGAGCCCGTCTTCGAGCCCCGTTTCTCTCCGAAGTCCCACGCCTTCCGCCCCGGCCGCGGGCCCCACACCGCCATCCGCTCCGTCCGCTCCCACTTCGCCGCCTACCTCTGGTTCATCTCCGCGGACCTCACCGGGGTGGTCGACGCACTCTCGCCTTATACCATACTCTCCTGCGTCCAGAAGGCCGTCTCTGACCGCAAGGTCTTATCTTTGCTGAAGTCGGCGCTCAATGCCCCTGTCCGGCCTGGGTCTGTGCCACCACGGGAGAAGGAGCTTGATGGCCTAGCTAAGAAGAGGCTGAAGAGGAAGGTTCTCAGGAAAAGCAGGAAGAAGAAGGTGCTCAATGAGAACGAGCCCAAGCCTGATCCGTATTGGTTGAGGTTATTCTTCGGGTTTGCCCCAGAACAGGCGTGCCATGCACCGAATTATGGGCATTGTGGGATACTTAGCCCTTTGCTTGCCAATGTGTGCCTTAACGAACTGGATTGGTGGCTCGAGGAGAGAATTCATGAGTACTTCCGCCCGTCAAGCCATGATTCGATTTGGAAGGAGGCGGGTGATGAAGGATGCCATAATCCTGCCTGGCCTGAGTTTGTCCCATCAAGTGGGAAGGAGAAGACAAGGAAGATGGATTACCTTAGATTTGGCTCCCATGTTCTTATTGGGATCAGGGGACCAAGGGAGGACGCAGTTGAGATAAGGAGACAACTGATGGAGTTCTGCGAGAGCACGTTTGGTTTGAGGCCTGAGAATTCGATGGTAGAGATTGAGCACATCACAAGAGGGATTGAGTTCTTGGATCATGTGATCACCCGCCGGGTCATCTACCCAACCTTAAGATATACCGCTAGTGGAGGGAACATTGTGAGTGAGAAAGGTATTGGGACATTATTATCAGTAACAGCAAGCCTTCAGAGGTGCATAAGGCATTTCAGGAAGCTTGAACTTGTAAAGGGGGATCGGGATCCTGAGCCATTGCCATGTTCACCAATGCTGTACTCTGGGCAGGCGCACACTAACTCTCAGATGAACAAATTTCTTGAGACCATGGCTGATTGGTACAGATATGCAGACAACCGGAAGAAGATTGTAGGGTTCTGTGCATATGTCATTAGGAGTTCCTTGGCAAAGCTTTATGCGGCAAGGTATAGACTCAAGTCTCGAGCTAAAGTTTACAAGATTGCCTCACGTGACCTTAGCCGCCCATTGAGAGAGAGCACAAGGAATGATGCACCAGAATACTCTGATCTCTTGAGAATGGGACTAGTTGATATTATTGAGGGTGTACAATTTGCACGCATGTCATCAATTCCATCGTGTGACTACACACCTTTCCCTAGAAACTGGGTGCCTCACCACGAGCTTGTATTGCGTGAGTATATTAAACTGCAAGATCCAAAATTCTTCTGTGAACTTCATAAGACAATCAAAAGGAAGGAGATAAATTCACCGCAGGATGATGTATCAAGGATGGTGTGGTATTATAAAGTTTATGGTGTTTATGATGCTAAAAGGTCCCTACAAAAACTAAATGATTGGAAGAATACTGATGAAGCTGCCAATAAGGAGAATCAGATTCTGTTGGGCAGTGTATCAATGGTACATTAGGCTTATGTTTTGTGAAGAAAGTTTTATTGGATAAACCGTCTTAGACAGCCTTTTTTTCAATAGAGAATACTCATGGATGGTATATCAACAACACATAGCTAAAGATATCTATCGTCTAGGAGATATTCTATTGTGCAAGGGTATACTTTTAATTGTATACAATGAATAATGACCATATCTCACTGTAAATTCATCCTTTTCAATTTTGTTTTACTCTTAGAAGCATGACACACTAATTTGCTTTTTTTTTTTGTTTTAGTTGACAAATCAGGTGTTGCACGTTAGTAAATAGCGTAGAAACTGAAGTGTGCACTCATATTCTCTGTAACCAGGAGTTATTGCAATTAGGCACAAATTAATCTTTTTAATCATCATTTGTCTGAATGATTGCTGGTCAAACTGCATGTTTTATATCTGTATATAATGATTTTGCAAATTTTACTAGTGCTTCAAAGAGGTTTATTAAATCTGTTACCCGATCATGGTAGAACAGCAAGTAAAGCCCTCTGATTCACATCCACCACCTGCTACTCCGGTGGACAGCCAGGATTCAACCGCACCTCCTGTCAGAACTCCTGACCCTGTTTCTCAGGCTACTTCAAATGATTCTGCCACCCAGTTTGCCAGTACATTCCATGTAGCCCCTTCACCTGCACCTGTTCCAAATGCTGTTCCAATACAAGATGCTGCAGGGCGCGAGGCACAATCCTCCATATTTTCTACATCTGGCTTATCCTCCTGGGCAAAAAACCTGAAAATACCACAGCCTTCTTCAGGTCAAGAATCACCAACGGGGAAGAATACATTTTCTCGCCTCACGAGTGGCCTTGGGTTGCGCTTGTCTCCAAAAGCTCCTTAGCAAGATGAGAGTGCTGAAGGCAGCACAACCCCAACAACAGCACAATCTGGCGTTTTTGGCTCTTTTACTAAAGGCATCGTGGATTCCTCTAAGAATGCTGTTAAGGCAGTGCAAGTCAAGGCTCACCACATGGTCTCACAGAGTAAAAGATGATATCAGGTGCATTTTATATGGTTGTTATCTTAAGCTTGATTGAACTTTTATTTCTTCATAGTTCAGTCTCTAGCTGATTATTGCAGAATATTCATGATTAGCGCATTCATCTGTTGCGTTGTGTGGTTGATAACAAATTTTCCAGCATTCATCATGAAGATTGTTCAATTTATATTTATTTCTCCTTAGCATGCTGCACTGATGACTTATTAGATCTTCTCAGAACATTGTCTTGGAAAGCCTTTATACATGTTATATGTATTCTGTCTGCATATATCTGTGTTAGCAGTTGTTACCTCTTCCTCTGCAGTCTATACATATTCAACATTCATCTTCTCATCAAAATGTGGATGGCAGTTTTGTGTTTCCATACAACTTGGTGATTGATTGATCATGTATTATTCCTTAGGGTGATAGTAAAACAATGGGCGTGTATTGCTTTGGTACAATGTCAAAGACAATAAGCATTTAGATGCCCTTATTGGATTAGACCATCAATCATCCTGTGTAATCACAATGGTATGTTTTGCTATTTGCCTGTATGAGTAATAAAGTTATTACTCATGGTACAATAGTTTGGTTAAATGACTGTTCTGTGGTTTGAAGTTTTTCTCGTACACTGAGTAATAACTTTATTGTTTAGGCGTTCTTTTCACTACTAAGAAGCACCCTAGAACAAAGGAACTGATTGTATGCCTTCTGACTGTATAAACTATTCATGTCTTTTGTTCATTAGCTTCTTCTCTTTTCTGCACATTTTCTTTCATTTGGTTAACTTTATGTAATATCCAAAGTGTATCAATTGTCTATCAACAATGTTTGAGTAGACTATTCATACAGGTTTATGAATTGTCTACTTAAATGCCTGTTTTTGTACCTTTGGTAATATCGTCCAAATTTTGACAGAAGTTTATAAGTATTAATGCTAAGTACTGAATTATCTTTTAGAGTTGGCAGTATATCCTTCAAGAAATAGCTTAGTTTCACTTGTCACAGGTGTTATGTTATTTATGCATCTCATGACAAATGAACAAACTTTTTGAAACTAGTGAATATATATCATGAAATGTGCTCTGTGGGTTTTGTGAATGTTACTATTTCTGTATCCTGTTTTGTTTTCTCTATATTTATTATTTTTGTTATTTCAATTTTTCAAGCTTTCTTTCATATATTATGGATTTATGGTAGTGTTCTTGCTGTTTCCCGTAAAACAAGGTTCCATAATCATAAAAGACAGTCTAGCCCACTTGTGTCCTGCCACGTGTGTTATATCCTGAATAAGCTTACATAGGTCAAAGGAATAGGCATGCATTGGCTTACACGAGGAAATTGGGGATCGAGAGGAGGGAGGAGACTGTAAACAGAGCCCATTCTCTGTTTCATTTCTATCCTCTTGTTACACAATAGTTGGCTTTTGTACCCTCTCAACCTTACTAGAGTAAAGACCACTCCATTTACTTTCACCAGCCTGGCCCACATGACCGATTAACCCTTAGTTCTGCCACCTCACTTCATATTACCATAGCTGTAGCTATGGTATGATCTATCGAAGCTTTCTAACACTATGGATCTTTGACCATCAGTTGGCCTGTTTGTTTGTTGGTTGTGATTAATCTGTGAAGGCTATTACTTTGTGAGCTCCATTGGGAACTAACTTTACTATTTATTTTCAGCCAGAAGATTTCTGGTTTAGTGCACCAAAGAAAGGGATCATGGTTTTTGCGTTGCCTGGAGAGCCTGGATTAACAGAGGTAGCTGGTGACTTCAAGATTCAGTTTCATGATCGACAGGGGGATTTCTACTGGTGAGCTCCAGTTCTTTATGATAGTATTATTTCCTTGAACGAAGTATATGTTTTTCTCGTGTTTAATGGTTTCATTTTCTTGTTACTGGAACAATGTTTTCGTTGCATATATGTATGTTTAGATCTAACTTAGATTGGATAGTATCAAAATTTTATATTGAAACTAAATAAATAATTGGCTTAATTCTAAGTTCCATTTGTTAACCTGTTTCCTTCAGCTGGTTAAATACAACAATGATGGAGAACAGGGTGACTTTGAATCCAACTGATCTTGATGATTTTGACAAGGTAATTGTCGCTTCATTTTTGAAGCTATTTTATGAATATGCTTGTCAAAACCTCTATCAAGCTATTTCCACTAGGCACACTACAAAGCCCATCTATCTATAAAATAAGTTTGATTATAAAAAATGGACTAGGGATCCAATTGACCCCTTCAAACTTTGGTCATAAACCAAGTTATTGCCAAATCTTGATCAAATCTACCAAATTTTCATATGTTAACATTGCCAAGCATTTTAAGTTCAAATCAAACACCTGTGGCCTTGTTTTTCAAGCAATTGCAGGCAAGGCTAGTCAGAATAGTGCATACAAATAGATTTCAGTGTTGAACTGTTAGTCACATGAAAGCTGTTCTAACATCTACTGTAGAGATATGACAATTGCAACTTAAAGAGAGACGGAAAGCTGTAGGGAAGTCATGGGGCCCGAAAGGACCCTAAAATCCCTTTGGGCCAAATACATACATAAGTGCTCTTTCGCCAAAATTCTTTCTTGCAGTCTATATGATGTTTCACACATATAGAGCACATGAGGCCCTTATCAAGCCATGCGGCCTCAGCCTTGTTGAACAAATTGATATTCAATAAATATTAGTCTATTGTTGCCCATGGCAGATATGTTTCCTTGATGTACATCACAGTATGATGGTCAGTTGGTCACTATGTTTGTGTTGTCTGAGTACAATGATGCAAATATTTAACATGAATGATGAAATGTTTTGAGTTAAACAAGGATGGCAACCAGAAAGTATGCATTGAGTGCTAATGCGAATTTAAAGTTTGAGTCTATATGTTATAGAGGAAGGGTCGTATAATTTTCTCTATAATGATATTAATCCTTAGGTAGATTGTTTTTCCTGTTTGTTCGTCGATTGTAGGTTGCTATGGGATTGTGCAGTAGATCTTTCACAATTTTGACCATTAATATGTTAGGATGTTGATTGACTATATGGGATTGTGCAGTAGATATTTCAGAATTTTGATCATTAATATGGTAGGATGTTGATTGACTATATAACTATTCTGACAGATTGAACATATCATTTGTCAAGGTTCTCTTTTTGATATAACATAGATATTTGAATATGGAACTCTTTAAATCCACACGGTAATATTTGTAGTTTCGTAGCACCATGATGCATGATTGTACATCACTTTTCTGAGATGAGATCAGAATATCAGATACGTGTTCCCTGAATCCGTTCTTTATGATCGGGAGTGGCCTTATTTGGAATATGCTTCTGCTTCTACCCTTTCATTATTTGAACCATGTGTTGTCGTGCTAACAATTTTCGCTTCTAGTTGAGCTATGTCATATTAAAGTCATTTTTTTCTGTCTTTCTGAATTGCAACAATTTATTAGCAGTTGTTGAAGGGGAAAAAGAAATTCTACCAACAATTTTGTCACCTCTGGATGGTAAAAGTTAAGTGCCAAAAAAGGCAAGAAAATGTGCTTCATATAAGTCGCTACTGGATGTGAAAAGCTATAATGTGCTTTGAAGGAGATTGATCTATTAACCACCCTATCGCTAGATTAAACCAAAATACCCATCCAAACATGCAAAAAAGAAAAATCAAACTTTGTCTTTTCCTACGCTCAAAGAATCTAATCACTGATAACCTTGTGAAAAAAACTGTTTATTATGGAATAAACCAGCTGCAATGTGAGCGTTATACGTAGTTTAAAAAACATTAAACTCACAGGTGTAACTGTAATGGCATATAGTGACCAATCCTAGAGAAAAGACATGTGAACTTCACCCATGATCATCAACACGTAAGATTGCAATTGTTCATAGTTGGTTTTAGAGAGGTTTTCGCGAGCCCATCGTCTTCGTTGGCTTTGGCTCGGTTGGAAGGATGAAAACAAACCATGGGCTGGCATGAGCGTTCCCTGTGATGATACAGATAAAAGGTTATTTCAGGCAGCAACGACAATTGAGCTAGGTAATGGCGCAAAAATAAACTTTTGGCATGACAATTGGCTACAAAACAGCTGCCCAAAAGACATTGCACCACTGTGTTTCAAGTTGGCAAAAAGAAAGCAAAAAGGCGTCCATCAAGAGCTCCATAACAATAACTGGTTGATCTCTTTCAGGCAAATAACATCAATAGA